TTCTTCACATGTCCTCAGTCTTCAGAGTTTAATGATGGCCACCTGGAAGACCGAGGAGATACTGTGAGTGAGTGCAGAGTGTCATGGGCCCGCCTCTTGAGGGGGGGCGTCACCCTTCAGTCACCATTAATTGATGCAGAGTGTGGTGCTGACATCACATGAGGACCGCCCACCATCAGGTGATCAGAAGTCCATGTCATGTGACGTGGCTGAAGACTTCAAAAATAGAACGCCAAACAGGGGGGAAAAAAATACTATGCGGGGGCCCAACAAGGGGGAGCACTGGGGCCTGGGGGTGGGCTTCACCACCATGACTGGTAACTGACCAATAACAAACAATGATAAACATACAGCAATGCAGCAAATATTTGTGTGTACTGTGCCTTTAAATGGCTTTTAATTTAACACAAAGACCGCGCCAGCAGCACCCCCCCCCTCCCCCCCCCAGAGGGACAGAGGGAGATTTGTAGCTGGTTGCTATGGGTTACAACACATCATTTTGTGGTTATTATAGACATTTTTTTGGAATCCATTTACTTGGTTTTAATTGTAAATATAAATAAATAATCTCCCCGTTTCGTCACCTTTGTTTTTCCCATAACGAGCGATATTCTCCCCGAAAGGTGATTAACCCTTTCCAGCCAGGTGAACAGATATAAGTGGCAGTACAGAGGGGGAGGGGCGTGTTCCATGATGCCACACATAAGCATGGCTGTGTTATGCTAGGAGCGCGCTCGATTGCTCGCCCCCCCCAATACTGCCATTTACAGCTCCTGGTCATGGAGGAACGATCACATGATCAATGTGACAGCCAATCGCAGTGATCGGGAAGCCCATGTAACACCTCCGGCATTCTGATCTCTTAAAGGGCCGGTGGGGTGCAGCAGAAAAGGGGTTAATGTAATATTAAACATTCAGAGCCGACATAATTACTCCGAGGAATCTCATTGTGCCGCGTGACAGCGACTCTCCTACAAAAGACGTCCATTGGGCCGGTACCGCACCCTGTGAGCCGTCCGCTCTCAGATGTTCTGCGTTTCGGATCAGGGCGGCATGTTTGGAAGCTTTGCCCTCACTCTGCGGAATGCTGGCACCAAGCTGGCACCGCTGGGTGGTCTGTGAGCCGGGGGAGGTGCGGGAACATACAAAGCATCTGGTGGCTTCCCTCCATGTGTGGACCGACTGCTGTCTGCGGGGACACAATTCATGGTGGGTAGTCCCTGATTCCGGCTCGGGGGGTATGCCCGGGACAGGCGCTCCAGACTGCCGGGTGCATTAGCAGGTTTATGAGGGTAATCCGGGCCCACTTCCTGTCCAGCAGATGGAATCCTGTCCGGGCTTCTTAGTGAGGACACGGGCAGGGGGGAGGACACGGGCAGGGGGGAGGACAAGGCGTCCTGTTTCTTCCTCGCCGGTGAGCTCAGTTTTGGGTGTGGAGGGCACGGCGCCATCTTGTATTGGTGTGATTGGGACGGATTGGATGTCTGTGGAGGTGCCCGGAACTCCGGCGCTCCCAACAAGTCTCTTTTTACGGCATCCCGTGACCTGCAGAACAAAGTGAACGGACGGGATTAAGGGACATTCACACCTTTGTACTTTAGTGCGGTGCGCTTGCAACCCCCATACAGCAAAGCTCAGATTGGGGGAGAGAAAAGCAGCACAAGGAGCCAGTCAGTTGTACAAACTAGGAACATGCTAATAGAAGGAGAGAGCAGAGTGACAGAGAGGTGATCTGATCGGTCTGCTGCTTCTCCTTTCACTGTCCAATCACAGGCTGGGGGGGAGGGGGAAGGGACAAGAGCTGTGAGTGTTACAAAAGTGCAGCAAAGAAAAATCAGGTCTCCTCTCCTGCGAGACACGGCTGTGGTGTGTGGCAGAGCTGTATAGTTCTCAGGACTGAATGGAATCCCAATATTCAGCTTTCAGTATTTTTAAACCAATCGTTTTGACAGTTTTGGGGAGCGAGGGGTTAAAACTTGTCCTGGATTCTTTCCCCATTCATGAGATTTCTCTTCTTATCTCGTACACACAACAGGAGGTGAGAGAAAATCTCTCCAGTCACAGATAATCCCTCCTAAGTTGTCACCAGAACAGGGGTCCCCATAGGAAGATTTCCCCCTCTATTCCTGATCTGGTGACAACAGTAAAATCTGATCTACTTCCTGTCGCAGTGACAACAATCAGCACCAGGAGAAGGAGAATCTTCCCAGCAATAAAAAAACCTGACAGAGGGCTCAACCCTTCCCCGCTCCATTCAAAAGAAGAGCTCCGGGCAGAAACGATTCACCTCCAGCACTGCAAGGGTTAACTGCTCATTTTTTGTCAGGGTCGCAGTATTTTATACTCACCCGAGTTTCCGAGCCGGCCGGCTCTTAGACCGCTCCCTCGAGCGTCTCTCCCCCTCTGCTGCAGCGGTCTAGGAGTGCTCCAGTCATCGAGTCTAATACAGTGTAATGGACATCAGGATGCTGAGGGACATACCATGCATGCCGCAGCGGAGGGGAGAGGCTGGGGGGAGTGCTGCCGGCTCAGGGGTTCAGGTGAGTACAACTTTTGGGTTAGTCAAATATGTGCCCGGAGTTCTTGGTTAGAGATACAATGTAATGAATCTGCTCCAGAGAAATGTCACAGCTGCCGATGGTTTCCTTTTCAGAAAATGCTAAATGCCCGGCTGGCACTCTCCGGATTGCACAATGACCCGGGACATGCCCGCAGCCAATCAGAGCTCCTGATCAGCCTGAGGGGGGACAGTGAGGGGTCAGAGGTGACTACATGCAAAATGTCACCCGGAGGCAGCAAGTGGCTGAAAATAAGACAAGCCAGATAAGAAGACTGAGGCCTCATTCACATGGGCGTGCA